GTTTTCGCTGGGAGAAGGGGAGATGTATTTCTGCTATCTCTTCCCAGCCTGGCTGGGAAGAGTTTGTAGTTGAGTTTGCTTTCTTAGACACTACCTTCTTGAGCCTGCCCTGATATTTATTTGGCTGAGGAGTGCTGGCCATGGGAGGGATCACAGGTCCCCGTCATCAAATCTGAGAACCTGCCGTCGTCTCAAAAGTTCTTCAAACATCTTCAAACCACCAACTCAGATATGATATATTCAAGTCTGCTCCATGGCCTCCCTCCTGGAAGCCATCGTGTGGTAGTGAGTCACGAAAGATCACGAAAGCATGTTTTCATCCACATCCTTGAGTCCCACATCGCCTGTGTGGCATGAGGAGTTGGAACTTGAAGGGTTCCTCGGAGGGTTCGACAGGCCTTACTGAAGCCATCTGAAGCCAATGTTTTTTCAGAAACAACCTGGTCCTGAGACGACCCTGGAACCCCAAACAACCAGAAAGAAATGGTTGTTTCCCCAAACAACCATTTTCTATGTAAAGGATTTCAATTGCCATATTGGAACAACCATTTGTTTCTGGTTGTTTGGGGTTCCAGGACCATCTACGAACCTTCCAGTCCCTCTCTTGCACCCTCTTTGAACCTCTTTGAACGCGTCGGGTCTTGGTGTCCTCCATGACGCGTCCAGTCCCACTCGACCACCTTCATGACGGAGGGCGAGCACACCTTGGCGCTGCGCTTGGTGGGTTTGTTGGTGAGAGGAGAACTGGTGGGGGAGCCATGGAATTGAAGAATGGGACACCGGAAGTTCTCTCTCTCTCTCTCAGTCTATTCTCATGATACGTCATGATGATGCTTGTTATGATTCTATGCTACAATTGTTGCATGATTTAGGATGATTATGCATTGATGTTCTGTTTGGAACAGCACTGTAGAAAGGTATGTTTGGTCTTCAACATGGACATGGTTCACCCTGGCCTCTCTCTGGATGTCAGAACAACCGTTAATTCATTGCATCCGAGCATCAAACGAAGCGAACGCAACGAAAGAATCGCGCACGGAAACCGCTTGCCGTACTTGTACAGGGATCTTGGCTTAGGCTTAGCTGCCTTAGCCCAGCGGTGAGGCTTTCGGTGAGGCTTTAAGCCTTTGCTGTTGGGACTTATCATACAATCATTATCGTGTTTTTATTTGTTTTCCATGTGACATAGTCCCTTCCGCAAGAGCTCCTCCCAAACGCTGCTCCGTCGCTCGCTCCATAAAAACTCGAGGAAGGCGTCGATTTCAATGAGCTCTCCAATGAGGCGGCGTGGGATCGGGTTCAGCGAACGGGTTTGGGATGTTGGAGTTCCGAAAGGGTGTAAAGGAAGGGTTCTTGGGAAATCGTTTTGTTCGGGTTTTTAGTTAATTTCTTCTCGGCCGAGGTTCTTTACCGCCGCTTCCTAAAAGCGGTGGAGCCCATAAATGTGCCAGGTGTGGTTTTCTGTGCCAGATGTTTGGTGAAACGGGCAAATCGAACGCCTATGTGGGTCGGTTCTCGCCATCGACCCAAGTCAACTCTGGCTTTAGGAGGGCGAAAGGAAGTCGTTCATGGCATTCATGTCGTTCATGGTGCTTTTGGGGTCTTTTTGGTTCTAACCTCACCGGACTGGCGGGTCGAACACCGGCACCGCCGACGTTCGTGGGTCGGACCCCCAAGCGGGCAGACCGGCAGACCATCCGCAGTGGTTCCAATAAACATCAATTAACCACAGGGGAACTGTCCATACTCATATGTCAGAGGCTGGTCTTGGAGCCCGGGGTTTGTCTTTTTCTCACCAAGTTCCACTTCCATGACTGTGTGAGGGAGGCTCTGTACTTGAGATTATGATATGTGTGTAAAGTCGTGTAAAGATTATACTCATTGTCATATACATACAAACATGGTAGCATCATGTAGCATTATATATGTGCATTCAAACACGTGCACAGCACAGAATGCAGACAATCTATGACAATCTATGTTTATTTGAGCATCCTGCCAATGTCGATTAGCGGCGGGGAAGGAATTGGAAAAGCTGTGCCAGCAGCTGGAGCGTGACAGGCCAGACACGCGGGACGTTGGTGACCGTACGCTTCCTGCTGTGGGGACTATCAGGTTCCTGTCAAATCAATGCCTCTTCAACCGGTTTGGCAAAATCAGGATTCTTCATGATTCTCCAAAGAAGTACGCCGTATGTACTCTACCTCGGAAACTAACAACTCACATGTGCAGGACTTGGGATTAGGATTTCTCCTTCCAGGTGTGTGCATGTGAGTGTGGTGCCGGGGGCTTTCGTTTCATAAGACAATGACCTGAAACACTGGATGATCACCCAGCAAAACTAAGACCCTCCTGTTATAGTCAGGCTGACGCCCGCATTCCGCCGACCCCTTATGAAGGAGTGTGGATTGCCCTGTGGGTTTGAAGATTGGATTGGTCGAAGCTGAGATGGATACGTGTGTGGGGGCACTTGTATATCATTAGGGTCCCCGTAATACGGCGGCTGGGAAGGGTGGTTGTTCGCCAAAAGCTGCCAGGAAGCGCACACCCTCGAGAAACACACACTCTAGACAGCCACCCATGCTAGGTCCCAGGGCCGGTGTCGCCTTGGCCCGCGTGAGGGGCTGGCTCGGATCGGATCAGCTACGCCCACTGGCGTCATCTGTGAACGACGGGGCCGACCCAGACAGGATGGTCCAGGTGATGTCTACCCGGAGGTCATGAGGTTTCTCCCAGCAAAACGATTGGAGTCTCACAACTGGTCGTGTTGGACGATTTTTTTGGACACCATTTTCCTGCACCAGAAACCACGAGTTATGGGTCTTGCGTACGCGAGGGAGGCGCAGGATTTACAGTTCTTACCCGGGATCGAGAGTAGCATGGCACACATCATAGTACCAAGTACCCAACAAGTACCAGTCTACCCGCCCAAGTACCCGGAAGCTGCACAGTTTTTCGCGCGGCGAAACGCCCAGGGAGGGCCTTGAAGCACGGCTGGCAGCACATCAGGAGGCCGAGCACCGCGTTCGGAGCGAGCGGGAAAGAGTTTTGACAGTGACGAGTCATGTCGTAAACTACGAAGACAAGCTTATGATGAGTCTTTTCAGAGTCTTTGTTCAGTTTTTTGTTCAGTCAAATATCAGCGATAAAAAATGCGAAGCTTCTGAAAGGGGGATTTGATGGGATGTTGAATTCGCCCTATTGTCTTTTTCCTTTTCAACGTCAATCTGGTCCGCCTCCGACAGTGTTTAGAACAATTGACCCCCAGCAGAGGCATTTGCTTCCCCAGCAGAGGCATTCCAAAGACTTCCACCTCCTCGCTTCCCGTCGCTTCGCTTCGCTCCAACCGTCGCCAACGGCGACGGCGTTTTCCGTCTTCACCGGTGAAGACGGTGAACGAGCGATGTTCCGACACGCCGAGCCACCCAGCACGCCCGGCTGGGTCGTCCCGGGACAGCTCTGAACACAGACACCGGGACAGCAGACATATGGAAATCAAGCGCAGAAGCTATTAGTAACAAGTGCCACGCTACTAGGAGCAAGTGCCTTACTAGTAGTAACAAAAAGCTACTAATTTAATTCCCATTTAATTCTAATGGACATCAAGCTCAGACAACTCGGACATCGCAGGACATCCGATGGTTTTCTCCAGGCTTTGAGCCATGGAAATCCGGTGACCCTACCACCGACCATGGTCGGTGTACAGTTGGGTGACTTGGTCAACCCGCGTGAATTCACTCGACACGACTCGCCCTTGCGCGTGTCGCCTGACCGTCACTGGCAGGTGATCGAGGGTTTTGAAGTACCCTTGATGAAAGGCGCAGCGCGGCGGAGTCACGACGGAGCGAAGGGAGGAACCCCCCACGGACCTTTTTGCGAAGAAGGTGTTCCACAGAAAGAGACAGGAAGATAAGCTGCATGCGACTCATGTGTGGCTTCAAAGCTCGGGAGTGAGTCGATGGGTCAGATTGAGCAGGGGAGCGGAGATTTCTGCTGTGTTTGTGCAAGCGAATTAGGCCATTTGAAAGGGTTCAATCTAGCTTGCCCAACCCTGTGAGAAGCCCTGGCAGACCCGTTTGTCATGCTGACTTGGCAGCCTAGGTCCCACACGCGGACTTTTTTTGCTGACGCCTGTCCCCCTACACGAGCCACCCGGAGAATTTAGCCGAGAGTCCTGACATCAAGCAAAGGGGGAAGTCACTATTGTTGATATTTTTCTTAGAAAATACAAGTGTTTCCACATATTATGGTCAAAAACAAGATGCCTTAGCTGACGCAGTGTACTAGACGGAACGATCATCGAGGGTTAGTTCTACTGGCCCATACCTTAATGAGTATACCTGACAATCCAGGGTTACAAGACAGACCCCTTCGTAGACACGGCTTCTACACGGCTTCTACGGCCATCCCTGGCGCCAGGAACGCTCCGCGTTCCGTCCGAGTGCCAAGCCGGAGAGCTTGTAGCTCCGCGAATCGGCAAATCGACTCGATCTTCCGGAGTGAATGGGTAGCTCGATCTAGGCCCATCTAGGCCTCAGCTTTCCCAGATGAGATCGATTGGCAGTACAAGAGTCAAGGTCGATTAGCACTTCAATTCATCTGGGTTCAGCTATTGTACAGATGGCTGAAAGCTTGAACTTTGAGCCTTCAGCCTTGAAGCTTCCTCTGCCGCTGAGGAAAAGGTTGAAAGTGGAGCCTGACTGTTGGTTGGACTACCTAAACGTGACCCAGCTACTGAAAGCCAGCGTTTCGGATTGGTCCAGGAATGCACGCACAGGAAGCATGGTTTGTGGTGGAAAACCAGTCGGTTTCATCCGTGAAAATTCGGTTTCGACACTGGTAAAGAATCTGTACTGGCAGTGTAGCTGTTTTTTCAGTACTTGCTTTGAAGGCACGGGTATCAATTTCAACCGTCGGCACTGGCCGGTACTGGCCGGTAGATCAGCCAGCGTAGGCAGGCAGATCTTCGCCGGTCGAGACACGGCTTTTTTCGAAGCGAGGAGATTTCGTGCGTCCTACCCTACATTCTCCAGATGTTCGGCTTCTATGGCCTGGGGCCGCTTGGAATGGCGCTGTTCTTCGTTGGAGACTGTGGAGACCATTGACTAGACCATCTTTGTCTTCCAGATGATGTCCTTGTTGCGGATTCTACAGTGGGTATAAGTACTGATGGCCCCTAAGCCCTAAGAAAGGTTTGATGGGCACCACAGAAATAGCCAAGGATGGATCTTGATCAAAGTCCAGTGCAAGAAGTTCAAGGGCCAGTTACGTTCTCCCAAACTCCTCTTTTAGGATTCAACCTCAACAGTCATCGTAGGTGCCGCTACAGGATTCAACCTCAACGGTGCCTTGGGGCAGATGAGCCTTTTCCAGGTGTGCATTCCTCCAAATGTCCTAATTTTCACTGGGTTTCTTTCCCGATTGGTGAAGATCACTGATCCTGACGTGAACCACTCTGGCAGAAGCCCACATGGTGCCGAAATAGGGTCCAGGCTTGAGGTGCCTGGGAAGAGCTAAGTCCGAACACCCAGCGGTTGGAGGGTCTCCCTAGGCCCGAGTTTCGCATCCACATCTTGACAAAAGGAGCCCAAAAACCTGCAGCTTCCTGCCTTACTTCTTGGAACCATAGCCATCTCTGCCAGCTGAACGAGCCAACTCTTCCCGCCTGAGACTCCTCGACAGAGCCCGGTTGGGTGAGCCCCCGGTTGAGGGCGTGCTTCTACGTGAGCCGATGGCCCGAATGCTGGGGATCCCGGCGTTGCAGGATGGTGGGAGACGTTAGTCAGGACCCTGGGTCTGTTGGTCAGGAAGTGGTTGTCGCTGTGCCGTATTGATGATTCATTGAATGACGCTGTCGGGGATGAAAGCAACTGAACTTGGTTTTGACCTCTTGTTGTCAAACCCTTCGATGAAAGCCAGATGGATTGATCGTTGGGGGTGGAGACTGGCACGCATCCGAGATGCTTCCCTCGGGCAGGCCAAGAGCTGCTTAACGGACTCGTGTCTTGCTGACACATAGATTTTCTGGAGCCTGATCATCATGTGTAAATGGTTGTGTTCTTAAATAATCATATGTACATCTTGTGTTCTCACTGCATCAGCTGTTGATTTAAAAGAGTCGGTATATTATATTGAGCATTCTTGTTTAACATTCTTTGAGGTCAAACCAGTGAGGATCAAATTCTATAATAAGTTGGTGGATCCAGGCTCAGGATATAAATATTGCTGGCCAGCAATGCCAAACCAAACCTTTCAAGGATGCGATGCCTCCTGCTGTCTAGCTTCTCCATTAAGCTAGCTGCTTGCATATTTTTACTTTTACATCCATGATGACCAGATGGCGCTGCTGCTGCTGCTGCTGCTGCTGCTGCTGCTGGATGTAGCTCTGCCTGCCTATACCACATCTATGCTGATACAGTTGATTAGACGGTACACATGCTGCGCAACATGACATGCGCTCGCGCACGGCGCACACACACTTAGGATAGGGTGTACTGAACTGAAAGCGGTGCCACACGCCGGCCTAGGTTACCAATTCCTAAGAGTACAGGTAAGAGAACCTGAAAAGGAAGTGGAGGTCCATCAAGTTCAGCGTGGCCATCAACTCTAAAGGAACCGTCGAACGACCGAGCGACAGAGTGACGTCGTCCGAAACCAAAGCCCTATGCGTGACTGCCGAGAGCAAACCGGTGCAAAGGCTGGATTTCTTGTTTTAGGTACAAGCAGGGCCCGGAGATTGGAGTAATTATCACAACAGGTACAGGAGCCTGGCCAAGTTTCCCTTCCCACTCTCGCCCACAGCTTCGTTGCGTGTGGTAGGACGAGAGTGCCACACGCCCCTGCTACACAAGGAAAGCAACTGTGAAGCTAAAACAATCCGAAAGGATCCCTATGATTCCAAGGGTTACACACACACACGCCTCCCCGAGGGGAGGCAAGATTTTTGAGCTCCGCGCCATAGGTGGTGTGAGACTCTTCGTCCCCAAGTAGTGGAAAGGCCAGGGACCTCTAGTAGCGTCAAAGAAACACCTAACACCTAGTAGGAAGGCCAGGAGCCCTAGTAGCATCCCAAGCTAAGGTGCCGACAAGAGGGAGGGGTAGGGAGAGACGAGAAAAAGGAGAGAAAAGAAAGGAAGGTGTTCCCAGCTACGACGCATGCGTCCAAGGACACACCAAAGGAAGAGAGGAGAAGGTTCCCAGCTATGACAAAAGCATCCAGGGACACCCAAGGAGGGAGGAAGGAGAGAGAGAAGGAAAGAAAGAAAGAGAGAGGGAGAGAAAGGGATTCACACTTGCAGGGAGCTTGCGGATGCAAGTTTTATGTTCACTGAAGTTCACAAAATGTCCCACCGGGACATTTTGGCTCAAGTTGGTAGCAATCGCCCGCAGGATTGCGCCTGAAGGTTGGGAAGAAAAAGCTTCCTTGGACACTCCCTAGTACATTGGTGAATTTTGACGACGACGCAATGGCGCACCCAATGGAACCGGAGTATGTCATGATCGAGTCCGTGCGAGATGCCCAGCCGGACTACGAGGATGGCACCACAATCAGCAGCCCAGGCATGGAGAGCCTGGACGCCGCTGCAGACGCAGCATCCACAGCCCTCCGTCATGCGGAGGCGGAAGGTGCAAGAGGCTTAGCCGTGTTTGGCCAGCCTGTCGTAGTTGCTGAGCTGGATGCTCAGGAGAAGATTCGTGAACTCGAGCGCCACTTGGAGGCCCTCAAACTCCAGATTGCCGAGCGCGAAGATGCGGACATGGGTGTGGACCTCCTGGGCCTGGAGACCCCGGCGGATGACGGCGCTTGCCAACCCCCTTCTGCTCCTGGTGCCCCTGGCCCAGCGGCGGAGGGGGTGGCTCCTGCTGCTGAGGTGGCCCCGTCGACGAGCCCTACTACACGATCAGCGGCAGCGGCCCAGCCTTCTATGCTGACGGCCATGGCGGAACCCCCTGTGACTTGGCCTGTTGCGGCGGAGCCACGCCCTGCGGCACCGGACAACCAGATGGAGGAGGACACCACTGAGCGCCCGGGCTTAGGTTTCACGCCCCCTGCACCCGCAGGGTATGTTAGTGACCCGGTAGATGCCATGGCGGCTGCTGCTTTGCCGTTGACGCCCCCGGCGAGGGCACAGGCACCAGAACCTCCGAGACCTACCAAGAGGCCGGCTCCGCAACCTATGGAGGAGCCTACACCCAAGACGCCAACCCTGCCGGGTTTTACCAGGGCCTCTTCAGCCACACTGGGCGCGGTCCCCACAGCCCTCTGCCCAGGTCCCTTGGCAGGGATCGACGAACAGGACAAGGTCCGTACAATCTACGATGGATCGGTGGGAGGCGCCAATGCCAAGATCCAACAAAACACTAAGGAGCGGACCACAGCGCCCACAGTCCTGGACTGTGTCCATGCTATCCACTGGCTCCACGCCGCAAGACATACTGAGGCTTCCACACGCCCTCGGCTTAGCCCAGGAGCCTCTGGCCCTGAGCGAGCAGGGGGCCTGGACGACTCACTCCCCGTCTGGGAGTGGCCCACCAAGGACAGCCAATGGATCTTGCTGAAAGCTGACGTCACTAAGGCCCACCAGCGACGGATCAAAGTCTTGCCCCAAGACTGGCGTTTCCAGGTCGCACAGCTGGACGACGAATGGTGGGTCAACAAGGTGGGCACCTACGGCATGGCAAGTGCTCAGCTCTACTGAGGCAGAATGGCGGCCTTGCTCCTACGGATCCTCTACTACCTCTTCCCCCAAATTGACTGGGGCTTTGTCTTCGTTGATGATTTTTGCTGGCTCCTTCGCCTGCCCACAGGACCGCAATTCACTGCGGCCCTCTTGGGTACATTGGTGGCTTTGGGCACGCCCCTTAGCTGGAAGAAGACCAATTTGGCAGAGATCAATACATGGCTTGGGTTCGTGATCCACCCGTCCATCCCTCGAGTCCAGATGGCGGCACCCAAGCACATCAAGGTCATGGAGCTCTTGGAAGAACTCTCCAATGGATCCCCCATGTCAGCCAAGGCCATTGAGAAGGCCATGGGACGGATCCAATGGGCCACGGCGTGCTGTCCTCTGACCAAGTCCCTACTCCAGCCACTCTGGGCTTGGAAGATGGCGGTCAACACTATGGGCCACCCACCAAAGGTGGTCCGAATGCTGGCCGCCCTCCTGAAGGAGCCCTTCACGCACCCCTTTGAACAGTACTCACCTTTCTTGCCGAAGTCGCCCTGGTGGGGATGCAGTGATGCTAGTGCATCCAAAACAGGTGAAGCCTTTGTTGGGGGTTGGTGCTCGACCTCCCCAAACCCCACCAAGGACCAGGTCCTATGGTTCCACTATGCTATTACGGCTGACGCCCACCCTTGGGCATTCAAGGATGGCAACCCACAGAAACGGATCGCTGCCCTGGAACTCCTGGGCACACTGCTTCTTTGCAAGCACCTGGTGGCCCAACAGGGCCAAATGCCGGGGAGAGTTCGCCTCCCGGTGGGCAGTGACAACTCAGGCAACATCTTCAGCCTGCTCAACCTCTCGGCCAAGAAGCCATACTCTGCGGCACTGCTCATGGAATTGGTTCTCTTCCTTCATTGTGAGGGCTGTAGCATCGCTCCCAATCACATCCCGCGGGAATTCAACACCTGGGCGGATGAATTGACTCATCCTGATTTTGAAGGATTCTCCTTAGATCGCCGGCTACCGGCACCGGAGACTCTCTTCGTCCTCAACCGGCTTTTCCTAGCTGCCCACCCAAGATCCCGTGACCGGATCCGGTGGGCTGTCCTCCCGACCCTGTCCCCTGGCACCTTGACAGGTGCCTGTTGGCTCTGGGAGGCCAGGGGACATTCGGGTGTTGCGGCAGAGACGGGCGAATCCTACTGCCTGACACACCCTTGTCCCCCTGGCGAAGTCCAGGGCAGTTTGAAATGGATCAAACGATACAGGGTCTGGGGAGGACCCCAGCATCAACCAAAGCTCATGGAAAAAGCATGCCTGCAGCTTTTTGCGCTCTTGGGATCTTTTTGACTTCTGGGTACATAGAGGAGAGAAAAAAGAAAAAGGCAGGTGTTCCCAGCTACGAACAAGCGTCCAGGGACACACCAAAGAAAGAGAGGGGTGATCCTGAGTGTTGCATTCAGGAAAACCCCAGGAATCAAAGAAAGAAAGAGGGAAGGGAAGGGGGAGAAGGGGGCCAAGAGGGAGGGGTAGGGAGAGGGACACACCAAAGGAAGAGAGGAGAAGGTTCCCAGCTATGACGAAAGCATCCAGGGACACCCAAGGAGGGAGGAAGGAGAGAGAGAAGGAAAGAAAGAAAGAGAGAGGGAGAGAAAGGGAGAGGAAAGAAAAAAGAAAAAGGCAGGTGTTCCCAGCTACGAACAAGCGTCCAGGGACACACCAAAGAAAGAGAGGGGTGATCCTGAGTGTTGCATTCAGGAAAACCCCAGGAAGCAAAGAAAGAAAGGGGGAAGGGAAGGGGGAGAAAGGGGCTAAGGTCCCAACAGGTTCCAGGCAATGAACCTCAAAATTACTTTGACCGCTGTGGTCACCTTGTGCCCTGCCGAAGCGGCTGGCTGCTTTGACCGCTGCGGTCACGCAAAGGCATAAGCCAGCTTGGAATTCCTAAAATGAGACAAAATCGGAGTTCTGGTGGCATGAGCCAGCTACTGTCCGCTGCGGACACGTACATCTCCGGGCAGGGGAGATAACGACGTACACCCGTTCAACGGGTCCACGGGAGGCACTCTGCGGGCTCATCCCGGGCTGGCACGAGGCCAAACACACTTAGGATAGGGCGTACTGAACTGAAAGCGGTGCCACACGCCGGCCTAGGTTACCAATTCCTAAGAGTACAGGTAAGAAAACCTGAAAAGGAAGTGGAGGTCCATCAAGTTCAGCGTGGCCATCACCTCTAAAGGAACCGTCGAACGACCGAGCGACAGAGTGACGTCGTCCGAAACCAAAGCCCTATGCGTGACTGCCGAGAGCAAACCGGTGCAAAGCATGCAAAGGCTGGATTTCTTGTTTTAGGTACAAGCAGGGCGTGGAGATTGGAGTAATTATCACAGCAGGTACAGGAGCCTGGCCAAGTTTCCCTTCCCACTCTCGCCCACAGCTTCGTTGCGTGTGGTAGGACGAGAGTGCCACACGCCCCTGCTACACAAGGAAAACAACTGTGAAGCTAAAACAATCCGAAAGGATCCCTATGACTCCAAGGGTTACACACACACACACCTCTCGTCCGCACGGTGATGTTCATGTTTGGCTTCGCTCCAACTATACGGGATATTCGCTTGGCATTCGCTCCACCACCTCCAACGCTGAACAAGTCACCCCAGATCCACCAGATCGGTTTCGGACGTTTCGCTCCGTCTCGGTCTCTCGTGGAGCCGGTCCAACCGGTGGCGTCCCGTTGGACCGAAGCCGAGGCCGTTGGCCGGGGTACTTTGATCTCATTGGGCATAGCCACCAGGCCTGGGTTCTCCCCCCCGGGATGGTCGTCCGACACGGAGGGGGCCGGGGGTTGGAGGGGGGTTGGAGGGTTCAGGGTCGATGTCGAGGACGGTGTGCCACGGACTTTTAGCTCTGAAAGTGTGGACTGAAGAGGTGAAGATTGGTTGGATTCGTTTGGCATACTGTAGGTCTCAAAAAGGGCCCTGAGATTTCTTCAGGAAGTTGATTCGGTACCTGGTGTTTCTATCTAAAAGAATTTATATCCAGATTCCGAACACCAACCCTGTAGTTTTGAGTCCAGATTAATCTTGCAGGTCAGATGCCAGACATGCTCCGGTGGAGATGCACTTGATGTACTGTATTGAGTTCTAGGCACTTTTTTCGCCATCGATATCAGAACAGGAGAGACACACGCGGAAGTCACTGCCTTAGGCCTTGGTTTTGAATTTTGCCGAAGTCCTACATCGAAGCCGAGTCAGAACATGTTTCTTTGAGTCAGACCTCTGCACAGAGTCGAGTCCACGTGGTGTTTTTAGGAAGTGACAACTGCACGGACCCGCATATTCTAAGATCAGACAGTGCCAGCCACGGACGGTGCACCCTTCGGCGAACGGGGGTTTTCTCCGAACCCGTGCGCCCTTCGGATGAACTGAACGCGTCGCCGAAGGCGTCCGCTGGGCTTTCTCGGCTCGGCGACTGTAGGTAGGGTGAAAGACCCTTTTGCATCCGTTTAAACAAGTTTCAATCACACGGATAGGATATCCCCCCCTGACTCTTGGCTCAAATCCCGATCATTTGTTGCGGCATCTAAGCAAGGCACTTGGGAAGTGAGCCAGGAGTCTTGGGGGTCCAAAAAAAAACGAGATGTACTATCGTTTTTTCAAAACACCTTGCAGAGATACCCAAAACGTCGAGGACGTCTTTTCAGCGCCTTCACTGCCCTTCGACAAAAACACCGTATGCGACACGACACGGTCTCCCGTCGTTTCACGCCGGCACGGGTGCCGAACCCGGAGCCTTCGTCGTGGGTTTTGTTCCATTCCAGGCCACAGATGTGAGCATATGCATGTGAAAAAATGAGCTAAGGTGAGCATAGCTGTGTCAAAAATACCAAAGCACAGGCCGAAAAGGATGAATCAGAGCTATGGGAAGACCCGCGTAGCGCGGTCTGTGCCGCCGAGGGACTGGGAATGTCAGCGTGCCTGAAAGTGGCTCGGTTTCTTCTATATATGGAAGCAACTTTCTTATTCCATAGATTTGCAAAACAATTCATGCGGAAAGACCTGTACTAAGAAAGTATCCAAATTCGAGGACTACTACCACATAATCTACCACTCTTCAGTGGTGAGAGTCTTTTCTATCTCTTCGTTTCTCTGCGTTTCTCATTCATTCAGAGCATTCCGTGTCATTCGGCCTGTCAGGTGGCATGCTTACAACTCAATCCCATCCATGGGAACCCTGAGATGAACCGCCAGAAAGCGCGCGACATCTTGGATCGCCATCGCAAGAAGCTGGAGCGGTGTCTTGGCCGGTGGAGCACAGCATTTTGAGCCAAAGCGGCCAGTGTAAGACAAGTGCTAAGAGTATTCTAGAGTAGAAGATTTGAACTTTGCCACCAAGATTCAATCACTGCTTTTTTTTGGATTCTGATTCTGTTTCTTCGTTATGTCCCATAAATATTTGTCCGGGAACTGTGTTCTGGTTGCCCCCATGCTCTTCGTTCCGCCCGAACAAAGAACGACGCGCCGTCCGCTCCATGAGTCTTGAGCTCCACGTGGTTCGCCGTCTGGGTTGGGCCGAGTTGGAGAGCAGCAGGAAATGGGGATCCGAGTCCGGTCAGGCTGGACCTTTTGGTACTCCCAGAGATGGCATTCACCGGATACTTCTGGAAAGACAAGGAGGGGGTCTGGCAGCTGAGTCTGGCAACTGAGACTTGGGGAAGAGGGTCTTTTCGACGGTTGGTCGCGTAGCAGAATGTGGACCCAACTGATTTTAAGGGGTGTTGGTGTTGGTATGACCTGTTCAGGGCACCAAGGCCGAGGAGCTACAGCCACCAAGGCTCCATCGAACCAGGCTTCCACCGTTTCTTTAGGCAGCTATTCATTCACTTGCAAGACATGCCAAGACGCGGCTTTGCCTGGTAGTGCGGCTTTGCCTGGTAGTTCAGCAATGAATGTAAAAACATATTTCATAGAATATTTATGAATATGTTGTCTGGTGGACCGTCTCCTCATAAGTCCTCATATTCATGTGATTTGGGTTTTGTCAGAGGACTGGAACAACGGGACCCTACTAGCTGGGAGGCCATCGCTACTAGGTGGGACCCTCCGTGACGTGGCGCTACGCGAAAAAAACGAGCTCCATGTCACGTCGAAACGGAGGGCCATGGCATGACAGTCACCCCATGAGCCGGCTTCACACAGGTCGACAGCCGTGTCCCACTCGGCAACAGTGCCGCCGTGTCGGTTTCAGAGTTCACGATGCCGTCACGGACGCCGTGATGCCGTCGCTTCGTTCACGTCGAACAACGGACGCCACTTCGTTGGACGCTGCGGCCGTTGGACCATCGCTTGGCTGTGCGTCTCGGTGGAACGCTTTCCTTCACAGCGATGCGCAGGAGCACATCGGCTCGGTGGTGGAAAGTCCCAGGGGACCGACGAGCAAGTGGTGCAGCACGATCGCGCAGTGGTTGAAGTGCACCTTGGTCGTGGCAAGACTTGGTTAGTTGAAGTGCCAAGACTTGGTTGAAGAGCCAATGGATGTGCCATGTTTTTCTTGGCTTGAAATGGGTGTTAACACGGTGTTGCCGAGGAGGTCGGAGCTGAGTTGATCGACGGTCGACACCAAAAAAAAGAATAGGGAGAGCGGTGCAGAGAACCAAGATCAGGAAGAGGTCATCAAGATCACGAGGTCCGTTATCTATCACTTATATAAGAACTTTTAGCAAGAAGACGAAGGCTTCAAGTACTTTGTGACCCACTCAAGGCCTTTATCGTGAAGGCTCTTGTCATGAAGCCTTATTTCGTAAATTTGGTCTGTTTCCTTACACTTCAGCACATGCCCCTCCTTGCCTTGTGGCTATTGGATCTTGCGCTTTTGGCGCGATGCTCCGCTGTCTGCTGACCACCCAGGTGTGGTATGCTGTGGGATCCCCTTGCGCAGACAGAAGAAGCTCTTGAACTCCATGCTGGTGCCATGTTGATGAACCACCGGGGTGGGGAGATTCGGCCTCAGTGGCTAAAGTTGTGGGCCAGCAGTTCTATGTCTATGTGTGGGTATGATACGGCAGTGTAATTGTTGAAGAGATTGCAGATTAACTTTCTTTGTAGCGTGTGGTGGAATCACAGTCTTGAAGCCGTTTGAAAGGCCATTCTGTTTGAGCCAGCCAGTACAGAGAAAGGCACGAAAGGGGCACCATAGGGGAACAGCTGAATGTGGTAGCTGATAGTCAGCACCACCTCATTTGTATGTTGGGCACACAAATCCACAACAGAAAACCATAATAGACAACCAATGGACAAAAGCCACAAGGGTTTTGCCTTGGTTCCGAACTGGTGTGAGTGGGTGGTACACTTTAACTTAGTTATATTGAGTTATGCTTGTTGTCCTGTTTTCGGGAAGTGCAACTTGTTGGGATGTACTTTTCCTAGGGAAGGATACTGGATTTTCAGAGGGCAGCGCATGAGAACTTTGTTGAGCCCTTCCACCTCGCTACTGATGGATGTCCCGCAATGACCTCGAGCCACCACATCATTCTGAAGTAGGGTGCAAGAGGATCCAGTCGTAGGTAGTTGGCTGCTTCTATTCGATTCTATTCCTTAGAGTCAGCCCTGGCTACCTTTTTCTAGAGAGGAACTCTGCCATCACCACACAGGGGTAAATAATCAGATGTCACCGCAGCGATGTTCTTTTACCAGGATGGCAAGATGAAGCTCCCAGAAGAAAGCCAAATGCCAACAATGTACTTATGCAGGATCCACCAATTCAGAGTTGCCAGACGATCGTTTGATCCAACACCCAGAACTGGTGCGCAAAGTGACTCCACTGATCAGCCAGTTTGCGTGCAGTCTGCATAGGTCTACAGCCGAACAGGCCGATTGCTGAAGCGTGTGACCAAAGTCCATCTTTACCAGTCGGACAAGAGCCTGGTCTGTGACATGACGCTTTTGACACTTTTGAGCAGACACAGGGCGGTTTGTCGTGGGCCAACACTTTTTTTCATTATCATTTTATATGATATGCACACTATAGCATTTTGTAGTTTTGCTTCCCACACGCGGTGTCTATGCCAGTGCAAGGTTGACTGTCGAATATTCAACCCCCCCCATGTCAGTACAGTGATCCGCAAAAAGATATTGCATCCTGGAAAAGCTTCGGTCAATTCCCCATTTGTTTTTGTTTCACTCTGCTATCTTACAATCCTGTAGATCACATAAAATGAACATTGTCACACCTGCACATGAAATTCTTAGGTAAAAGTCGCATCCTGGAACATGTTCGGTGGATTTCGCCACTTCAAGAGATCGAGCCGAACATGGCGTGATTCATAGGAGGAGTTGGTTCACGAAGAGTCAAGCCTTCATGTTTTTGTTTTGGGCGACCGCTGCAAGCGCGTCATGAGGACATGGGCTTGCAATGGTGAAGACTTTGTCTCTCAGCACGTGGAGGGTTTGCCCATCTCTCCGGTGGGCTTCGGGATTTGCATGGACACCTGGCACGGTCGGTTGCACGGTTGCTGGTTGGATGTGCCGTCGGAACGTCCCGTTGTTCTCCGCGTCTTCCATCAGGCGACGAAGGGAGGGAGAACGAAGGGACGGTCGTTGGGCGCTCGCTAAGATTGACTTTCACCAGGTGGGTCCGGACCTTTCATCTGAAGATGTCCTTTAAAACTGTGTGGGTTCGGTGCGTTTGGAGTGTCTGAGCTCCCTTTCAGTTGAAGATTTCGCCGATTCTTTGACTCTCCCAAGGACATCAACCCGAAGGATTTCAAGGCACGGGCGTGGCACCGGGCCCTGCCGG